AGTAGATGCTGAAATGCAATTCACACTTTCTGATAAAATGTTTGTATCAAATACCTCCCTATTTAGACTGATTTCTTTTTAACACCATATATTTTTATTATACTGCATGCCCCAGAGAATGATACAAAATAATCTTAGATATGCTATACCAAAGAAAAACTGTTCAGATCCTAGCATTGATACTCTAAAATGTTTTGCCTTCTTAGATTCAAATTACAGCTCTTTTAAGAACTGTTAGAGTCTTTCTTAGTTATTCTGTAAGAAATATTAATCATTTGGCAAATTATTATCACTATAACAAATTAACCAAGCAAAAGAGTTCAGTTGTTTCACCTTGAAACCCTTTCTTCCCAGATTAGATGTGCTTGTTGCTGAATTGGAAAGCCTTGCCCAGAAAACATCTTTCATTATTGTAGTGCTACCCTCTTTGATCTAGTTAGGATTGGTATTTGCACCTTAAGTACAGATTTCAATTATTGTTTGTTTGGTTTTTTTTTTTCTTTACTGAGCAAGATACTAGAATGCAAGAATAGTTTGTTAGAAACTCTACATGAAAGAGCAGATTTTATTTAAATACAGCACAGTTCAGGCTGAGTAAAATAGCATTTGGATACATAGATAAAATGCATAGATGCTTTCTTTAAAATAAGCATGCTCATGGGTCTTGCAGAGTCTAATTTTTGGCAGTTATCCTCTTTGCGCTTTTCCTGCAATAGTTTGGCAGTTCGGCTTTCACAGTTTTTTTTTTTTTCCCCTCTAATGTCTTATGTTTCTTTACTAAATCCCTATCAAAAAACCAGACAGAAGACTCTTATTTATTTTAAATATCTTAGGTTTAGCATCTTTTTTTTTTTTTTCACCATTTTCTTGCTTACTGTAGCAAGACCTTTGCAGATGGTACTTGGTTACTTGAAAGTGCATAACAGTATTTTCTTTGTAGCAGATGGATTTAAGACTTTTAGTTCCCAATAAATGTAGGTTTACAATACATAACTTTACAGGATTTGTGTTGTATATAACAGGTTTGAACATATTATCTCAGAATTCATCTGCATGGCATTTTCAGCTTATCCAGGGCCCATGCCAGTATTTTAAGTAATAGGGAGAGCACAGTGATTGATAGCAGCTAAAGGCGTGATTTTGAATAGAAACAAAGGTTTTAGAACAGAAGGTGTCAAATTAAACTTTGTCAGTTTGAAAAGTAGTAACATCCTGAAAGTTCTCCAAACATATTTACATGTGGCTAATGTTTATATTTTGCTTTGTACTCTTTTTATATTCAGTGTAATGTTGCCTGGCAAATTTACTCTGTTTTAAAATCAAGATTGTTCCCAATGTCATTGCAGAGTTTTGGGGGGTTTGCCTTACTGCGTAGATATATTGGCTTAATTATTTTAAGGCTGGTTTGGTTTTTTGGGGTTGTTTTTGTTTTTGTTTTTCTTTAATTATGTACTATATATGCTGTATAAACTGCTTGTGATCCAATCTGATTTATAAATATTTCCTTTTTATTTTGTGGTCCTTTCCACTTCCTGTAAGACTATAAAGACATGAAAAAAACAGTGGTCCAAGCCCTCCTTCAGAATAAGTTTTTTGAACTAGACAGAAATTGGTCTAGAGTTAAATGAGTATAAGAGGAGAAAAATCAATCTGGTTAGATTCACTTGTAAAATTCAGCTGCATTAACTACAATGCTTCATATTTCTTTACATCAAATGGAAACAAAACTTACAATTTTTACAGGACATAAAATTCACCATTGTAGAAGTCTGTATGATCACTTTTCCTGAAATTTATAAAAACTTTTCATGCATTCTCATTTAGCTGACTTTTATGAATGAACAGAATTATGTCAGATACAGAATTCTGAACCCTGAAACTAAATGAAATAATTATGTTTTTGTTTGTTGGGTTTCAACCAAAAGAAAGTGTACTGGTATAAAGTTTGTAGTCTCCTAACAATGTAAACCCCTATAGCCTCTTTGACTGCCCATTCACTATCTCTCCTGAGATATTTCTGAGATCAACTTTCATAAATATTTCCAGAAATAAACCATGAAGACCAAAAATTTGTTTCTATCCTTGCAATTTTGGAAGAATTCAGTTGGTTGTTTCCATGTTGCCCATCATATATTTCATCAGAGATGTCTTCATCCTTAAAAACTTGATGAACCCAGTGGAAAAGAGACATTTTGGCAGAATAGCAGTCTGTTCTGTGTACTGTCAGAAGCATCTGATTTCGGTATCTCAAAATCGCTCCTTCCCTGAAAGGCTAGCAGAGACATGCTTCAGGTTACAATTCATCAAATCATTTTTAGATAAGGAATTATAGAAGCATTATTTCAGTGCAAAAGTTGATAGAAAAATACTGGAAATATATTGTTAGTCACCAGTAATTAATAAAATTAAGGTCTAATCTAGTAAATATAGAATCAGAAAAAAACAGTAACAGGAGAAGGAATTTCTTAGTTAACAAAAACTGTTGTTGTGAAATATGTTTAATTAGCATAAAATGTGAATACATAGGAATTATTTTACTACTGGACATTTAAAAAGAGTTTCTCCTCTCTTTTTTCCAAAAAACCCCGTGCTTTGCATGGTCACCAGACAAAATATGTGCAGCTTCTTAATACCTGGTGCAATTTCTTTTCTAGTCCCTCTGTATACCTTAGAGAGCTGTCATGGGAGGGGACAGGCTGTCTTGTCTATTTTACTTTCACCGAGCTGCTGTGACAGTGAGCTCTGGTCTCTGTTTCACCACCAGTAGAAAGAGGACCAACAGTTTCAATGTGAAGCAGTCCAGACTCCTGACAACCAAAGGACAATTTTTATGCTTTGGGTTAGGGTGGGTTTTTAAAAAATTTTATAACTGCATTTCAATTACAAAATCTAGATTTGTTTCTCTTAATCATCTTCTCCCCTCCATCCCCAACAAACTACCTGTGCTTTCTGATTGCACCTCTTTTAACTCACTGCAGAAAACTAATCCAGCCGTTGAGCCTAATCCTGCACGTATCCCCGTGGAAGCAAGGTGGGCAGAGAAATGCAAGCAACACGTTGATTTTGTTAGGGGCAAGGACAGTTCGTACATTAACCTGCTAACATGTCCCAGGGCACCTTATGTTGGGGAAGGAGAATTCACAGACCCTTGCTACCACTTTAAAAACGTGCCATGCGATTCCGGCTTGGACAGGCCGTGCATGTTGTGCTCTGTGGGAAGGTGTTTGGCCCAGCTTGCTGAGCCCCAGGGCCATACCCAGCATCCACCCTCAGTGCGTGGTGGAGGCATGGGGTCCGCTCCATCCCCGGGGTGCAAGGGGTCCTTCTGCTGCCGCCACTTTCCTCCTCTCCCCTCCCTCCCTAGCGCAGCTAGTGAGCACCCACCAGATTTTGGCCCCATTTGAATTTTTGCTTTCTCAGCTCCGCTACCACCATCTCTCTAATATTTTTCATTTCAATTATTTCTGTTTCTCAGGGACATTTTCTCCTGTGTCAGTATGTTTAGTTTTCCACTTATTTCCAAGAGAATATACTTAAAATTTTTATACATGCCACTAAGTATTTTCATATACAATATGAATGATTTAAGATTATTTGTTTACTTTCACCTTTTCCTATTGTGGTAATATTTTTACACTGCTTTTATTAACTGCTAGTTAAAGATACAAATGTCTTCAAGAAAATGCATATCTATATTGTATCTATGTATCTATTGTATCTAGTAGCAAACTAGTCTGGATAAACCATTTTTCAGCTACCAGTACATATAAAAAGGATCTAAAAGCTTCTGTACATTTATATTATTTGTTGATTCAATAAAATGTCACATTATCTTTCATAGAGCATTAAGAAATAAAATTGCATAGACCTAGTTTTGAAAACAGATCCTTGAAGCTAAAAGAAAGGAAGTATGGATGTTTTATACACATAATATTTTGTTTCTAAATTTTAATATACCAAAAAATTGCTACTAATGTGCTAGCTAGAGTGTTTGCACTCTTCTTTTGAAGCTACCAGTGCACAATTAAGAAAAAAAAAATCCTCAAGTGAATTTTAAGAAGACATAAGAAAACAATTTTTAACTTTTCAGGATGAACTTGTTTATCTGTTTGGGAAGCAAATTAGCAACTACTACAGTTCTTGCAGGGGATTCTGCACCGTATCCCAAAACCACATCTGAATTAGAGTAGGAACACTCTTAGGCAACTTGCTGTCCTGTGATCTGGAAATGGTATAAAGGGTATATCAGAAGCTTGAGCATATCTTGCCTGCCACTCAAACCCTAATAATGTACGTAAACCTGAGATATTGTTTTTTTCTGGGTTTGTGAGAAAAATCCTGGAACAGATAATCATCTATCACTTGAAAGAAGTTCACCTGCAGAGGCACCTCTACTCATAGCAGACAGCAAGAAGACATTACTTTCCTGCATCTAGTCAAAGGATTCCTGTCTTTCAAAAGGATGTCAGGGAGCTCCTCTACCACTGCTTCACATTAAGCAGCCCTACAGTCAAGACAGATATTTGAAGTACTTTCTTGTTTTGAGTAGTCGTTCCAGGATTTTAAAAATTGCTTAGCAGACAATCTGCCAGCTCCTGAACTATGGTGTCAGTGATCTCGGGTGGGTGTAGCCTTGCATAAAAGAAAATAGGCAGCAGAGAGAATATACCGGCATCAGTGAAACCCCTGTCCTGTGGAGGGGAGTGCATAAGGGATTCTAATGCCTTCATCAGTTGGTTCTTTTCTAAGCAAACAAACAGCAGCGCTGTGGTGCCATACCCAGGGGAAGGTGCTTTCTAAAGTACTCATGGTTGGTGAGGGTCTGTGAAGTGGCACAGCAGCCTCTCGGTGTGTCGGTGTGTGCTTTGAGCCCAGCCTGCACAGTGAAAGCTCTTTCTTACCGGGGGAAAGCGTGAGAGAATGCAGTGCCGCTAAAGTACAGGGTTTGCCCCTCATGAAGTGAGGGAAAAAACTAATGTTTTGCTGGTGTTATCTTCAAGGGGTGGCTTTGTGAGCTGTTACGTTGGAAAGAAGATCCCTCACCAGAGAACAGGACCCTCTGGGAGAATCTCTCCATGATCCGAAGGTTCCTCAGTCTTCCTCAGCCTGAACGTGATGCCATTTATGAACAAGAAAGCAATGCAGTTCATCACCATGGTGACAGGCCTTCCCACATTATCCATGTGCCAGCAGAACAGATTCAGGTTAGTTTACCTTGGCCAATCCCGCAGAGCGCTAAGTAAATAAAGCTTTAAACGGAGCAAAGGAAATTAGTGTTTCTTTCCTCCCAGCCAGGCTAAATGCAGGTCTCCCAGTACAAGACAAGAGCACACTGCTATCCGCCGCCGGAGTTCAAAGGAGACCGTGGGACCACCCACGTTTTTTGTTTCAATTTGGTGGTTTTTTGCAAACGTGCGTGGACGCGGTGGCGCAGAGGCTCCGGCGTGCTGGGCGGGCGAGCCTCTGTGCTGGCTGTCCCTGGCTAGACAGGTGTCAGGACGGAAGGGCAGAGGCATTCGGCACCCCTTGTCAAACGCCTTCCCGGCGAACTGGGGAGAGCTTGTTGCACTGCTGTTCAGGAGCTGCGCTCGATCCCTCAACAGCAGTGGCTCGCCCCGGGTAGGAGTGAAGGGAAGGGGATTCCTCATCCCACTTTAACCCCAGTCAAGGCTGGGGTGAGTCAATGTTTGTTTGTTTTTCCTTCAGAGCCCCTCTCCCACCACCCTTGGGAAAGGAGAGCATAGAGGCGCTTTCTTACCAGGCCTGCTGACCGCTGGACCTTGGCTGGGTGCTGCTCCGCAGGTGAGCTGGCACAAGGGCACCGTGTCAGGGAGAGAGAGGAGGGGATGCAGGACCCACGCCACGGGGCTTGGGAGCAGCCACCCTCTGCTCTGGGGCAGCCCCGGCAGTGCCCCCGCCTCTGGGGGCTGCGCTGACCCTTTTGTCACTGGGGCACTGGGAGCATGGCTGGCTGTTCTGCTCAATATTGTAGCCCTGGTCGGCAGTGCAGGCTGCTGTCTCTCTGAGCTGGAGACTCTTTAATCCCTTCTCATGAAAGACCTGATGTCAGCCTTTTTACTGCTCCCTCTTAAAGGGCAGATATTACTCCGTTGCTTTCCCAACCTCAGCTGAGACCCAGTATATCATTTGTATTACCTATCCAAAAAAATATTTACAAAGCTAGGAAGGATAGAGTTATCTCACAGCTAGAAACAACATGAGTGTATATTAAAGATAAAGCGAACTGAGTAAGACAATCCCTTAGGATATCAAGTACTAAAGTAATTGTGAAAGCCTGGAAACTTGCTGTTTGATTTAGCAAAAAAGAGAGAGAAAGATCTATATTAAGTAATAAACCAGCACTTGTTTAAAAATGTACATTGTTTTTAATAAAATCGCTTCTTAAGGGGATAAAAGGAGAAGCTTATGCACAGTATAAACATTCAACCACTATGCCACTTACTTAGATTTTCTTGCCTTGTTGATAAAAGTTGTGTGTTTGATCTCGCAAATATTATTCACATAAGCAGTTGCATTGTAATCTGTTAATATGACTTGTAAGAGTAAGGATTGGGAGACTGGGCCTGAGTTTTGTCTCTGCTCTTCTACACAGTCATTGTTGTAGATGCATAAATATATAGCTAAGTCACAAGTTTTCAATCTGTATGTACAAAGCCTCCAGTCTTGTAAGAATTTAATGTGCTGGGAGTAGTCTTGAATCTCTTTGGGACTGAAGCCTTGAATGGGACTGCTCACAGACCATAAAACATGAAAGGAGGTGAATAGGGATGAGGCAAGAGCCCTAATTCCACTAGCATTTGTGTCAGATCTTACACAAGAAGATCGCTTAAAGCAATGGCTTCTAAACCGGTTGTTGAGAACTATGTGAAGTCTCCACAACCACGAGTGGCACTGTGAAATGGACAGAATTGTCTTTCCCCCAATATTTATATCATTCGTACAGTATTTTGTGCTTCCTAGGGTCTGCAAGTGAGCTGCAACTGGAAGATTGGGCACCACTGCCGACACACAAAAAATTGTCGAGGGGAGACTCGCAGAGGGAAATGAAACGTAGTGATAGCAACTGCTTGTTTTGCTGCTGTTGTTTTTTAATAATAACTGGTGGTTTGTACCATATGACAAGAAATTTGCTGATCCAAAATATCTTACTAACCAGTGCTTCCTGTGCTGTGAAGCAAAAGAATTGTCAACAAAAACAGTAGCTGATAAATTAACTTTAGATTTTAAACATGATCTTATAGTGTACTGTACTCTGGTAGTAGAAGAGAAAAACATTTCTGTCCCTAGAGCTCAGTGCCTCACCTTTTAAGAATGTTTCTGAATCCATGCTTGCAAAACTTCATTTTAAGCTCTTGTTAATTATTTACATCATGATTTGCTTTATCTTATTCTTCTGATGTGCATGCTGGCTCATTTTTATTGCCCGAGTTTTCGTAAGGCTGCATGTTCCCTTCTAATAATAATAGTGCAACTTAGACTTTGCGTCTTAGTGCTTTATAAATATTAACTAAATAATCCCCAGCACAAACACAGAAGTAGGTAAATATGTTTGTTTCATGTTTATACGTCAGGTTACTTGAACACAGGCAAAACAGACCCTCTCTGAGACCACAGGCAAGAGGGGTCGGAGCCAGAAGGGGAAATACAGATTTCCTACCTCCAGATCTCTTTGTCCTTGCCCAGGCTGGGTTTGAGAGTGTGATGTTAGGCACTTCCAGCTAACACATTCTGTCATAACGCTTGCAAATTTGACGAGACTTCAGTGCATGATAAGCTCAGATCAGTAGTGGAATATTTCCACACTTAGCTAAAATGCTCTCTTTCTCCCTGATCCCCTCAGTCTAGCTATTGCTAGAGATTTGCAGCCCTTGTTTTTGGGCAGCAGCTGCTGCTGCTGGCAGAGCTCCTGTGCATTTGCCCTCCTCTGGCACTTTTCTCCCTTTGCCCTTGCTACAGTTCTGGCTAGGCTGGTCAAGTTAATCCTATCCTATGGCACCTACTTAGCGTTTTGTCTTGCCTGCACTGAACTCATGGAGCACATTCATTAAAATTTGTCAGCTGAAGTGCAATGATGTCTTGTCATTGGTACGTTCTGTCAGACAAAGCCAGTGTTTCCCTTCCACCTTTCTGTCTGTATCCCATCGTCCCTTTATCCCTTGACTCTGCTCACATGCATACAGCTACATGAGAGATATGCAGAGAGTTACTAACTCATATCTTAATTCTGGTTCAGTAATAATGGGCCTTTTTTTTTTTCTTTTTTCTTTTTCTTTTTTCTTTTTATTGTTTAAACTTACTAAGCCTTTGTTTATAGTTTTGCAATTTCCCTCATGGATTTTCTTGGTAACACAAAATATGGGAAAAAAAAGCACGTGCAAAAAAAAAATGCTGTTCTTTGTCTTGCAGCAGCAGCAGCAGCAACAGCAACAACAGCAGCAGCAACAGCAACCAGGTCCCAGACTACCCCCAAGGCAACCAACAGTAGCATCACCAGCTGAATCTGAGGATGAAAGTCGTCAGAAGCCCCGACCACGAACAAAGATTTCTGTTGAAGCCCTAGGGATCCTACAGAGTTTCATACAAGACGTAGGCCTGTATCCAGACGAAGAAGCAATCCAGACTCTTTCTGCTCAGCTTGACCTGCCCAAGTACACCATTATCAAGTTCTTTCAGAACCAGCGATATTATCTCAAGCACCATGGGAAGCTGAAGGACAATTCTGGTTTGGAGGTGGATGTTGCAGAGTACAAGGAAGAAGAGTTGCTCAAAGATTTAGAAGACAGCATCCAAGACAAAAACGCAAACACGCTTTTTTCAGTTAAACTAGAAGAAGAGTTATCGGTAGAAGGGAACACAGAGATTAATGCTGAATTGAAAGACTGATCTAAAAGTATTATTTTCTTTCAACAGTGCCACAGGTATTTACTATTGAAATGAAAATTCCATCTTGCGTTCTGTGAAAAACCTTTATTATTCATTGTTTGGCCAATGAATCTTCCAAAACTTGCACAAAAGTTAAAAAAAAGGATAATGCAGACTGCACTAGATGTTTTACTCTGTTTTACAAACTGCTTCGCAGCAACAGATGAAGCGTTAAGGATTGTTTGATATTAATTTGTGTTCACTGGATACACTGTCAGTGTACCCAATAAGCATGATACCAGTGATTTTGATTCTGGAGCCTTCAGACAAGCATTACAACTTTTGTGATTTACTGTTTTTTGTTTCTGTTTTGTTCTTGTTTTTAATTATTACTGTAGCACTCCACACTTGATCTTTGGAAACTCACATTTATTTAAAAAAGTAAAATAAAAAAAGAGTTTGTTACTCTTGTTCTATTGTATGTTACAAAAGAACTATAGACTGTGGAATGCAGTTTAAAGATAACATATGCCAACAAATGCCTTGTATTATATGGCACTGCCGTAATTCAGATTTGTTTTCTTTTGGAAATAAAGGTCACTGTATTTTTTTTTTCCATTCTCATTGTTACATGGTTTTAAAGAAAATGAAAAAGAAAATGTGAAACACAATTTAGTCCTCATTATTTATTTGTAGATCCTGCAGCATCATGTTGTAATTAATTTTTTTGGAAGTTTCCGTTAAATGTAATATTGCTTCTCTTGTTATCATACTGATTTTTTTTCTATTTATAAATGTATTTTGATGGGCAGTAAAACAAAGTGTCTTAAAAGTTTTAAATAGAGAAAATGTGCTTTACACAGTTGCCTATAAAAAGTGCTCTATGTTATCCAAGCAATTCATACTATAAGCTTCACTCTTATTGTTGTATGCAATTTTTACTATCATGCAAATAAGCTTAGGTAAATAAAACTAATAGATCACCTTAGAAACTTATGCAATTAATGTGAAAATAATTGATGTTTGCAATGTGTCTTCCTTTGGTTTACAATCAATTTTAAAGCTACAGCTGTATAAATTTTCTGTATAAAGGTGTATTTCTTTTTTATGAGTTTATTGCTATGAAAACACCAGTTATTTTGTTACAGCTGGCTGTTTTTATAAGTGTATCACAATTTTCTTTATGCAGAAATGTTCTGACTAGGAGTGGTTATTGACTGTAACTACACAATTAAAATTGTTTGTATGGTATGATATGGCAGGGTTTGTCTGCGTATGTGTATATCTGGGAGGAATAACTCGTTCTTAGTGCACTTTGTACCTTCTTGCCACCACTTTGAAGATGACATTTCAATTGTTCTCCTTTAAAGTCACAGGCAGATTTTTGTAATGACCTTCTTAAAATTTAAATTTAGATAACATACTTCAAAAAGAAACACAGTTTGGTTATGAAAATCATAACCTGTCTTTTCTTGGTTTAAAAACTCGCCTGCCCAACAGAGATAGCAGGATATTATTGAGTCAAAAGGCTATCAAGCATAAACATATTTACAGTTCCTGGCAGTAATACACTTATAATGGATACAGCTGGTTTTATTTTACACTAGAATTATGCTAACACTATTCCTTGCACTAATGTATAAACATTAAAAAAACCCCATTAATAGTCACGAAGTAAATAGGAAAGATGGGCTTTGCACATAGCAGTCCCCTTCTAAGCAAGATTATTTTTAATGATCACTAATAAGGTTCTTGATAAAGCCATAATAACCGGTGAGCTCTGAATTTATGCAAAGCTTATGTCTAGGCTAGAGAGAAATCTGGAGCTGAAAGTTGTGAAGTACATACCGTTGTTCTCTTTTCCTAGGAGAGAAACAACTTACACCCAATGCAATTCAGGATTTGAATTCAGCACAGCTCTTCTAAAATGATTAAGTTTGCAAAACTCAGAAACTCAGGATGAGTTTCAAATGCACAGATGACTCTTTCTTAGGTTGCAGCAGATTTCTCCTTTTAGCTCCATTAAGTTCTTTAGTAAGATACATATTAGGCAACAAAGCAGGTTTTGATTCCTCACGTTTAAAACTGCCACAGGTTGCCCAGGTCCTCTGTCGCAGTGCCCTTGGGGTTCATTGAGCAGCTCCCAGCTGCGGCTGCTGCCGGGACTGTGTTTGGGCTGCACGGTGATCTGGGCTTGGAAGGGGAACAAGCTTTAGGAGGGACACAGACGTGTAGTTTGGCAGTTGCAGTCCGAGAGAAAGAGAGTCACACTATGCCCTCGGTTAAGGGACTTGTAGTAGCTATAAGGCTATTGATAGCCCAAAGCTGTGCTGCTTGCAAAAGGGTAAAACGTAAGCCTAGTCTAGGGAAGTTAGTGTTGGATTTCTTCTCTTGTTTCAAATGGGGTCATTGCTTTGTACAGCCACAGAGCCCCTTGGAGCTAGGACAGACCCCTGTTCACAGCTGTGGGACAGGATGAAACATAGCCCAGGCAATGCAAGCTGATTTGATGTGCAGGACAATACCACTGGCACCCTTGAGCTGGCTGAAATGCCATGTGACCATTGCAATAGGGCTGCCTAAGAAAAAAAATACACTTTTAGACTGATATGCCTTTATATGCAGGGTAGAAGTGAAAATGAAGCAGACTTTACTGTCCTGAAATATACCTCTCTTCATGCTAAAAGGTCATACATGCAGCACTACTGATACCAGAAAGAGGGCAACAAGTCCAACACCCTAAAAAGCATGAGAATAAATGTTTATAAAATTGTCTTTGCTATTTTGAAAGCAATTTCCTTTTCTTTCATCCTTTTAAGTTTTATGGGTGCTGAAGTAGAGGCCATGTGTGCTTGCAGATGGTTATTACAGCTTTTTCTTTTACATTAGCTACATTTTTCTTTCTCCTAGCCTAGCTAAGGTTATCTTCCAAGTAGTTCAACCTCTGCAGTCACGTATTACTTGCACAGAGGTTTGGATCCGTGCATTTTTGTGTCCCAGTGGGTGGGCTGCATGTACAGTCTTTTAACTTGGCCTAAGTGACCAAAAGCATTTTTGTTAAATCTTTAGCAGCATTTTCAAAGGTGGTATAGGTATTAAGGATCCCAACTTTGTGTGAGTGCAAGAGGTTTATACTGTTAGGAGTTATGCCACCTTGACTTGTGAACTGGTGAGACTACCTAAAACACTGTCTTAAGTCCTTTGCTGTTCCTTTTTCTCACCATCTGCCATAATCCTACAAAAAAACCCCTTTCCATTTCTGCAAAGATTAAGAAATCAGACAAGTTCTGTAACAAAGAACACAAATTGAGACATCAAACACTATTAATTGGGAAGTTGTTAGTAAAACTCACTGAGTAGGACTTCATTGATATTGTATGAAATTATTTTGTATATACTTAGGGAAGTATGGGGAAGGAATATTGCATACTAGGAATAAAATTTAAGCTGCAAAGAAAGACAAATGACGAAAAAAGGGAACTGAGAGCTGGGTGGGGATGGCAGAACTTAGTTTTTGCTATAAAACTGAAGTTAAGTATTTACCATGTTTTATGGTGTTTACCATTAAAAGTGGAGTATTTTTACTTTCCGCTGATTCCCATTTATCTGCTTTTAACTGACAAGATTTATGTGCGTATGCTAGAGTCCCCAGTGTGTTTTTCAAGCCTGAAAGAAAACCAAAGGGGCTCCAGATTCCAAGAAGTTCATGGCCTGGGGACAGTCTCAAGCCCCAGTCACACATACAAAGGTTGCTTATCATTATAAAGACTCCATACCCTACAATGCAGGGTTTTAGATTTGTGTTTAGTATAGCTACTTTAAATTGGTCAGATGACACACACAAAAAAAAAAAAAGTCCAGGTTTGAAAGTAAATTATATCATTTTGAGTTTTACTTTTAGTTGGGAAGGTGCAGCAAGTGGAGAAAGAAGGGAAGGTTCCCTCAAACCAGTGATTTTGTTTCACTGATTTACTGAGTCAGTACTTTGGTTGTGTGCTGGGAAAGCACCAAACATTGCTGAGTTCATTTGCTGAAGCAAATGCCCCATACATTAAGAGCAGTATAAATCAGATACCCCAGAAGATCGACTTGAGCATCAAGTATCAGCAATTCTGCTTAATTTCTTGAACTTGTGCTTTGATGTCAGGTACATTGCAGAGACCAAAGGTATTTTGATTTTTACTTAATGATTTATATTGTGCTTTGAATAACAGTCCCAGCAAAGCAGGGATATAAATATACTCCCAGGCCTTTTTTTGCACACAGATGTAATTTTAGTTTGGTCTCCTCACAGTGCCTTGCGTCCACACGGTCTTTTACTACAACAAATGAACTAATAATTCATACAGCAGTAAGTGATCCTCCTTGGAGCAGGAGTAGCACTACTTGGCAGCGGGTTTGTTTGCTTTCAGGTTCATACGGGGGCCTTCCCGACCACTCGGCTGCTGGCAGCCCTCCCACTATCCCACGCCACATTGCTTTGCACTGGCCTGGCCTGGACGCCCTTCCTGCTCTGGGTCATCTTGCCTAAATGTCATCTCTCCTGGTTACGTGCCAGAACTCAGGTATATGTGCCACAGTTTAATATGAAGCAGCAAGGACTGTATGTATTTGATGTCACTTACCCTTTATCGTCATCATTCATGCTGTGAGCCCTGCAGAGTTGCTAGAATAAGCCACTTCCATTGGAAAGAGAGTGACAACTGGGGCAAATCAACCAGCAGGCAAGTAGTTTCTGAACTGATGGAGTAGAGGGGGCAAGGGGACATGCATCCCAGAGGTGAGCAGGAAAAGAAAAGAGGAAGGTGCCAGAAAAAGATGGGAGCATCAGTAAAGTCACAATACTGTCCTCCCTTGCGTGGAGGAACAGGCTTCTTTTGCAAGCCGTGCTACCATGACACCCAGAAACACTTCAAGGTACTACCAAGACTCCATAAAATATGTTCCTGACCTGAAATGTATCATGGCCTCCAATCATGGGATTTGCCTTGGTAGGCAGCATCTAGGATAACACAAAAGCCTCCTCAGCTGTCTGTGGCAAAAGAGGTCCCGTACCAGTCTGTCCTCTGGTATTGTCCCTGTGTGTAGGACATGCAGGATTCTTTTCATCAACTTCAGACTGGCAGCTACCATGGCAGATGCAGTTAGGACTCTCTTTCCAGATTACTTGCTTACCCACACAACATGCTAAAGCAACATCCAGGCTGTAAAACCTCTCATTTTCCTCCAGGATCACACCCAACCACAAGCAGCATGTTTGCAGCCTACTTTTCTGAGCTGTCTCCTACACCCCTGCTCCTTCCTCCTTGGACCAGATGTGCCACAGGAGTTAAAAAAAATCAAATGTGTTGTACAGCCCACATGTTTGTCATAGTGCAAGAGAAGAGAAAATACATTACCTCTGTGGGCGCACAGTTACATAAGCACAAACAGTTCTGAAGTTTTGGGGCAAGTAAGTCGCCCCAAGAGGCTTCAGAGACAGATTTCATACTGCTATAGTCATCTCAAAGCATCAGTCACAATGATTTGAAATTGTTTGGGGCAGAAAAATTCATGCAGAATCCTACTAACTTTGCAGGGGAATTGAAAGCAAAGAGGGCTCTGGTTTGTTACTCGCATTACAAAATAAACAGCATTTGCAGGACCAGCCTTACAGATTTTGTTGCCCTTCCTCATTCACATTAAAGCAGGACACTGTCCTGACAACTAACAGCACTGCCCACAGCTCTGCACCCCTTCTTGCTCCATCTCAAGGGGTCTCCCCTGCATTTAGCATGCCCCAAAATGGCTTAACTCTTCTTTACTCTCCCATCATCAACCTAAACACAGTCTTTCATCTGCAGTCAATGTTTTTACCCAGGGAAGGCAATTTAGAAAACAACTTCGGTTAGAGCAAACCACGGCAGGGAAAGGTAGATGAGGATGTCCTTTCAAAAGTGTAGGAAAAGTGATTCTTTATCATTATCAGCATGACAGCTTGGACTGGGAAATAAGTACAGGTGGTGTTGTTGGCTTGCCTTAGTAGGCAAAATGCTATATCCTCAGCCTAATAAGGATTTAATATCAGCTGAGAGACTGAAGGAGACAGAAAAGGAGGAAAGGTGAGAAGAAATATCTAGATAAAA